TTCTACTTTGATTACATTTTATATTATTATTTTATGAAAATTATTTTTAAAAAAAAATATTGTTCAATTCATCTCATTACAAATTTTCAAAATCTAATTTTTAAATATTTTTTATTAATAGAGATTAAGATATAATTACGGTCAAAGATTTGTGTTGGCAAGTGTGAAATGTTTACTGAGGGTTTACAAATAATTATACAACAAAACAATATACAGCATTATTAGGGGCCGGAACCAGTCTGGTCTCACAATTATTTGAATGCTTCTCACAACAATATCCAAATGCGCCACACTATTCAATACCAAAATGAAGTTGGGACAGAAAATGGGCATGCATAATGATACATGTATGAACATTTCCCATCTTCCAACCACATACCTAGGGGCAGTCCTACACAAAGATATCACAAGTGTCCCATTTCCTCAACATCACTAAATCCTTTGAAAATAGACTACAAACCTTGGAAAAGAAAAACCTCTATCAGAGCGACTCATTTTAATCAAACACATTTTGTCATCTATCCCAATACACCACATTGTTACCACTACTATCCCAAGCAAAATATTGAAAGTCCTAGAGACCTTGATGTAAAATTTCTTCTGGGGGTTTACTGGGACAAAACACAAATATCACTGGAGGAAATGGGCACACATGTGCAGGCCAGGAGAGGAAGGAGGCTTAAACATCATATCATTGGAGGTCATACAAAAATCATTACAAACCGAACTATGGTTCATGTACAAGGAAAATCGGTCAACATGGGCCCACTACATGCACTCAAGATGCCAAAGATCAGAACCAATGAACTCAAAACCAACAGACACATACAAGTAAACAACGGAAACTAATTTGAAAGCTGCAAAAGGATGGACAATTCACGCTCAAAAGTTCATACCAAAATACAAGAACACGCCACTCAAAGACATTCAACCACACACAAACCTGGAAATCCAAACTTCCCCTAAAACTTAAAATTTTTCTCTGGAAATACCTCAACAATGTCCTACCCTTCCCAAACAAACTAACCAGGTTCCAAATCCAAATGGCCACCCGGTGTTCATTTTGTCTTAGACACCAAGAAACTCATAACCATTGCATGTTCAGTTTCCCTGTCATACGACTTGTACAAAGATCTTGGACAAAGGCTTTTTAGGTGGTGGCTAGGGGGAGTTCAACAACACAAAGAACATTATTAGGAAAGCTATGGCAGGCATAATCATGTGGATAACTTGGAAAAGCTACAACTCTATTATCTGGGACGATAGGCACACATCTATGACTCAAATCGTCAAAGACATCAAAAAATACACAGGGGAATGGAGCTCCAGCAAAGCAATGAGTAAACTAATAGCATTCGACGAAGACTTATACAAAGACGATCTCATTTCGCATACCAACACAACAAGGCACATAAACGCATACAACAACACTCCATCAACACAAAAAGGGACCAGGAAGAAATAAACAATAGAAGCAGGTCGGGAGACTTATATCAACAACCATCCTCATGAAACGAAGCTCGGCCCCCCAGACACACAACTCGAGGCACGAAACGACCAAACTCGCACATACACCAGCTGGAAATTGAACGAGAGCTTTCACCAAACTCGCACATACACAGACTCCCACCGGCAACCAGTGAGGCGATTCAAGCACAAAAAACGAAACCAAATCAACATCGAGAACCACAAATGTAAGAGTTTTCTACAACATACCACACAAAAAATGACTTCACCATCGACTTACCCGAACAACTGGAGACAACTGCACAGAAGCTCGAATGTCACTAGGACACCAGCACCTCCAAACATACATCGGCTAGCTTCTACCTTGAATCTCCTCCTCACACGAACACACATATGGCAATCCTATCAAAATCACCCATCGCAACCCCACACCTCGACACTAGCAAGTAGACGGAGAAATCCTAAACCTAGCCGCTCACGTCTCTCTCTATCACAACGGCAGACTACGGAAATATTAGGGCCTGTTTACACATATTTTCCTGTTTTCTACTTCTGTTTTTCGTTCTCCAATCTTCTGTTTTTATTTTTCAGTTTTTCTATCTCCAATTTTTTGTTTCTATTTTTTAGTTTTCCATTTTCAAATCTGAAAACATGTTCATCAACTTTTTCACTTAGTTCTCCAATTCCACACCATTGACCCCTACCCCTACCCTTACCACGATCTTACACTCTACTCATACTCCCCCACAACCCTTCATACCCACCCATACCTACTCATAGGGGTCGGGGTAGGGAAGTTATGGGTGGGGGTGGGGTAAGCGGTATGGTCGGGGTGGGGTGGTAAGGTCTAGGGGTAGGGGGTTGGGTGGGGTAGTGGGTGGGTTAGGGTCGTGGTTAGGGGTAGAGTTGGGGTAGTGGGTATGGTGGGGTGAGGTAGGGTAGGAAGTTGGGACAGGATGGCGGTAGGGTGGGGCCGGGACCAGGGTGGGGCCGAGGTAAGGAAGGGGTAGGGTGGGGGGGTAGGATGGCGGTAAGGGTAGGGGTAATGGGTAGGGTAGGGAGTTGGGATAGGATGGCGGTAAGGGTGGGGGTAATGGGTAAGGTAGGGGTAGGGTAGGGAGTTGGGATAGGATGGCGGTAGGGTGGGGGGTAATGGGTAAGGTTGGGGTTGGGGTAAGGTAGGGGTAGGGTAGGGAATTGGGATAGGATGGCGGTAGGGTGGGGCCGAGGTAGGGAAGGGGTAGGGTGGACCCGGGATCCGGGTGGGGCCGAGGTAGGGGAAGGGCAGGGTGGGGGGATAGTATGGTGGTGGGGGTAGGATGGCAGAAGGGTGGGGGTAGGATGGCGGTGGGGCCGAGGTAGGGGGCATGTGGTAAGGGGTAAGGTAGGGGTGAGGGTTAATATACGAGGGTTGGGGGTAGGGTAGGGTGGGTCGGGGTGGGTCGAGGTGGTAGGGTAGGGTGGATCGGGGTGGGGCCGAGGTAGGGGCATGTGGTAGGGGGTGAGATATGGTCATTATAGGGAAAAATGGGTACACGGGGTGGGGTTAGGGTAGGGTAGGTAGGGGTAAGGGGTAAGGTACGAGGATGGAGGTACCAGAATGGAAACGACATCGGAGCGGGACCGGACCCACCACTAGGTGTAAGTATGCAAATTCATTGCAGCGACACTGTAGCATATGCGTTTTCCAAATTTGCAAAACTAGTAAAAGTCACTTCTCCAAATCATTAAGGAAAAGTGAAACATGTCTCATTTTTTTTCGTTTTGGAAAACGATTTGGTAAACGCGTTTTTCTTTTTTTCTTTCTCCAGTTTTCCAGCAATTTCTTTGGTAAACACGTTTCCTGTTTTCTGTTTTCCAGTTTTCCATTTTTCTGGAAAACTGGAAAATATCTCTGTTAGTAAACAGGCCCTTATGTTTCGCAATTACATTCCCTTGGAGTCTTGGACTGACTACAGGGTCCTATTTGTAATGGGCCACTTTTAATTCCTTCGTTTTTTATCTCTTTTGGGGGCGATTTTTCTTATACCCGATCCCTCCCTCTTGACTTTGTACATTCTCCTCCTTTTCTAATAAAACACCTTCCTTTAAAAAAAATGATTTTCCATTTATTAATATTTTTTATATATCACTGCAATTATAAAATCTAAGTTATTTATCTAACTGTGTAAACTTAAAGTGTGACAGATTTAAATGTCCAATATGTGCTAATATCATGTTACGCTATTCCAACATGTACGCATCTATCTGTGGAAGTGGGTGTGGTTTAACTATAAATGTCTCTTCACCCAATTCATTTTTGCTCATGTTTCTTTAAAAAAATACTCTTATGTCAGTCTCTATATCAAAAATACTATCCCAACGCATCAGAGTTCCACACACTCGAAGTTTGTCCCTTTCCTTGGTCCATTCAAATGTCAAGGTAAACATCTTGAAAGTTGTGTTCTTAATTTTGGGCTTTTGCCTTTCTTCTCATCTCTATTTGTCTAAGCCTTGTCCCTCTAGCTGTTAAGCGTGTAAGCTAGGGATGACTGGGACGGGTCGACGACTCGGGCCCGGCACGCCCAGCTCGGTCCTGTTTAGGCCCGGAGCCCTGTCCAATGGCTATAAGGGCAGGCTTTGAGCTCGTTTTTTAGGCCGGACCCGGCCGGTCCCAGGCCCGATTGCACCATCTTTTTTAATTTATTGCCAAGGCTCGTCCCTACCTGATCTCCACCCGGTACTATTTAGGCCCGGCCTGGCCCCGGTACCGAGCCGGTATCGGGCCAGAAATTTTTAGTCTCGAGCCCGCCCAATCTCGACAAGGAGCCTGCCCGGCTAGGGGTGGACTCGGGCCAGGCCGGTTCCGGTTCGGACCTGGGTCCAGCCGGGCTTTTATCTGGGAAAGGTGGAACCAGAACCGGCCCAGGTAGCCGACAATTCCGGGCCGGGCCGGGCCCAAACCAGGCCGGTTCCGGTTCGGGCTTACTTTTTTTATTTTCTTTTGCTTTTGTAATCAACCCCCAACCCCCCCCCCCCCCACCCCCCACCCCCCAAACCCCCCTAAAACACCCAACCCAACCCAGTAGAATAAAAAAATTGAAAAAAAATAGGCCCGAACCAGGCCCGGACCGGCCGGTTCGCGTTTTAGGGGGGCCGAGCCCGCACCGGGAACTGACCGGTTCTGGTTGGCCCGAACCGGCTCCAAGACCGGGTTCCAGGCTGTGCCGGGCCCAAACAGTACCGGCCTGGGCCAGGCCGGGCTGCCAGGCCCGGGTCCACCCTTATGCCCGGCCATGTCCCGGTCCATCCCTAAATTGTAAGCATGCTAGGCCAAGTGAAGCTCATAATCAGTGTATTGTGTTGTGTATATTCATAATATATAAACAATTATATGTGTATGCATCACCGTATTCGGAGTATATGGCCTTATTAAAAATTTAAAACTATGGCTTTTAAGGGTCTCAAAAGCTGTTATTCTAGAGAACACTTCATGACATTTGTTAAAGTAACCTTATCTGTTGCGGAATTGTTTGTCAGCGTACTGAGTTACTGACCCACTAAAAAGTTTTTTTTTCAATAGACCAACTAAAAAGGTTAATTAATCCATAATTATTGCACGTAATACTCCCTTTAAATATGTATCCCCCTCGAAGCAAGGAACAAAAACGAAATTGGACAGCTGATCAAGTCAATAGTGCTGTGCAAAAGGGGTTGCATATTAACAAGGAACCAACAAAGAGATCATTCTCTCAACCTGCCATGGTTCAAATTTCAAAACTAAGTGCAAATTTGTATACAACAACCTGGAAATACTACAATAGTTCTTGAGCGTCAAAAGTTGATTTTGCTTCTTTCTTATCAGATCCTAAAAATGAGCAGTTTTGGAAAGCATCCAGACTGCTAGCTATGAGCTGGTTCAAGCCACCACCAAGACTATCACTTAAAATCAGATCTTCACTGTGGTGACATCTAGTGGAAGGTATATCCAAATCCAACGGTCCTAAAGTGTCACCCTGCAAAAAGAAACGATAGAAAAAAATATTGCGCAGGATGGTCAATAGCGTAGTGTGAATTACCACAAAATACAACAACAACATCCAAGTCTTAATCTCAAAAGATTTTGGGATCGGCTAATGACAGCTCTTATTTCCTACTTTTTTTGCAAGAGAGATTTGAACCCCCAATAATCTTCAAAAGCCTCTACCAGTTATGCCAGGTCCACCATTTACAATTGACCCATTAATCTTCAAAAACAGTAATCACTATGTGATTACTTCCCAATTCCCATAAAGAGTCCTATTTGTAAATTTATGGGAAAACTGTCAAATAAGCCCTCATACAATATCAGAAACATCAATTAAGCCCTCATACTCCAAAATCACTCTATTAACTCCTCAAAGTTACAAAAAACGTTCAAATCAGCAATTTAGTTGGTCATTTTCCAGTTTGCCAGTTTGCAGATCACTTGTTGTCTACGTGTCACTATATTTAATTCATTTTGTATATTCTTTTGTGAGAAAAAGTCAATCTATTTCTTCCTCTGCTATCGAGGTCATATGCTCCCCACAATAAATCTATATTCTTCGTAGACAACCAATAAATCAAGGAGAATAAATTGAAGGATCAATCTGCTCCCCGCCAGCATGAAGCAAAAGCCTTGTCATCACCACCAAGCTTCAACTGGTGCCCCTTCGAGTCTCCACTCTAACTGAAGCTACCAACTGCCGAGTAGGGTTGAATCCAGCCAGGGCTCTGCTCATTGGAGAACAGTCTCCGACTTCCAAGCACCTACTATTCTTTAAATTTTTCTAGATCGTCAACGCTCTTTTGGACTGTTATTTTCCCAGCTTAAAGAACTCCATCAACAACAACTCCTCAGATGGCGGCAACACAGTGGTATCTCCAGCAGTTGATTCGTCAAATTACCAAATAGCCATAAGACTCAGTTCCTATAATGAATCTACTGCAGCGAATGCTACCACTACTCCACTAGTGGCTATCAAGCTTCATTTTCAATGGCCACCCCGATTGATCACTGACAATGAATTCTAATCCGGCCTGCCAGTATATGTAATATAATCCTCCTTATTCCATCGTCCACCTTCCAAACGGTGTGCTATTTTTATTTGAATTTATTTTGGATGAATATTAAGTCATCTCCCATGACCAACCGTATTGATGAGGTCCATAAGCTCTACTTTGCAGAAGCATATGACATACGTATTCGAGTATATGTCTGAGGAAGAGATAGATCGGTTGATTGAGTAGCTGGGAGTGGACACCATGGTAACAGAGAAACTGCTAAAAAAATTATTTATACAAAAATAATTAAATATGGTACGCGTGGACACCATGGTAACAGAGAAACTGGGAGGTGACGGGTTATATAGCTATTTATATATAACAGAAATTATATATAAATTATAATTATATATATTGTGCGACAAGTCGCCTAATTGTCGCCTAGGCGGGCGCCTTGTCGCCTAGGCGATATGGCGGTCGGCTGGCGCCGCGACTCGCCTTAGCGCCGTGACAAGTATGATTTGAACATTTTTTATAAGTTTGAGTGCTTGATTGAGTGATTTTACAGTACAAGGGCTTAATAGACATTTTTTATATAGTACGAGGGCTTATTTGTTAGTTTAACCTAAATTTATTTTTATCCCAAAAGTCATATTTGCACAAAGTAAGCTAGCTTTTATTATTGTTGATGTACTCTATTAAAAGTGCTCCCCAACAATGAGGTATGTTAAACATAACTAAAAAAGGAAGCCCGGTGCACGAAGGCATCCCTGCAAGACAAGGGTCCTGGGAAGGGTTCCACCACAAGGGTGTATAAGGAGCAAGTCTTCCCCTTTTAAATTTTGACAAGAGGCCGCTCCCAAGACTTGAACATGTAACCTCTCAGTCACACAGCAACCCTTAAACCGGTGTGCCAAGGCTCCCCGTCATGTTAAACATATCTAAACCAAGAAAATCAATTTAAAGTAAAGCTACATCTAATCATTTGGAATAGTTGCACCTTACCAATAGTATATGGGAACGAAATTCCACAAACATTAAAGCATGTATTTAAAAAAAACACTAAAGGATGTTTAAGAACAAGATGTTACCCAAGATACATCAGAGAATGCATTAAAATCCTTCACCACATCTGTAGTAGACGGGGGGGTCAGGTACACTTTCTAGGTCTGCGCTAGCCGTGGCATCAACAGCATTCCCAGTATCAGGGGGGCCCTGCAATAGAAAAAAAATGAAGATCAATACGTAGTATAAAATACTGCATCTCCCTCCCAAAAATTTAATCCATTTGACTAATGTATGACCGTACTTATAAATTTTAAAGAGTGCCTTTGCGCGCTGGTTTAGGGGTTTCTGTGACCGAGAGGGCATGGGTTTAGGTCTTGAGAGCGGCCTCTTGTCATCTTTGGTCAAAATGAGAAGGGAAGGCTTGATTCCTATACACCATTGTGGTGGGACCCTTCCCCGGACGATTGATTTAACTTCATTACATCAAATTGGACACCTTTTTTTGGACGAAAAAGGTTTTCAAAAGTGGAATCTTTTTAGACTGGAGGTCGGTAATAGTTTACAAATATGTGCATTAAAGCTGGAATCATATTTCCAAATAAACCTCAAGTAATGTGCCCGATACAGCAGCAGTAGTAGCATTTGCCAAATTCATCTGTTTCTCTGGAGTAGTATGCTTGAGAGAATTCTGCACTTCCTCACTGTGAGAGCGTCCCTGAAACGCAAATGCATCGCATGTATCTTCGGCACCCCAAATTGTTGATAATTCAGATTGGGAGGCAGTATGTGCATTCACTATATTTTGATGTTTCTTTATATGAGCAGCAATTGCGGCATCAAAGGAGTCACAGTTGAATGGTATATGATTGACATAATTAGAACTGCTAGTAGGTATTCTGGAAGTTATGCGATTGGCATCTTCAACCGCATGTACTTCAGAGAGTAGATCTCCAACACTTATGTTTGTAAGGCTGTCAGCCCATTCCCCAGCACATGAGGCACTAGTCTTGTTAAACTGCAACAATATTAGTCAAAACAGAAATGTATTTAAAATCATTCAAAGACAACTAACTTAAGGCACTATTTGTTTCCAAGCAAATATTTCTTCGTCCCTACATTATATACATTCCATTTTGGTATGCCCTGAAATCATCCCCGAATCCCCCCCCCCAAATCCTTTAATGACCAGTGTTGAGTTAATGGCCCGATACTGAAATCGGCCCATTACCCCCTACATCGACGAACGTCTCCAATGAACCAATGACAATTGTAAATCAAGGCCCAAGGCAACTGCGACATACGTCACCACCTCGGGCCCTCAACTCAAGGAATCCTAGCCCAGGGTTAGCCAGCATACTCCTACACCAAACAGCCAGAAGATGCACGGCGTCCCATCCTTAGTGGCATTACCAAGAATAGATCCAAGGCCCATGGGGACGTCGTCCCAAGGACTGGGCGGGAAACTGAAATTCTGGCGGGAAGCACATTTAGTGCTGGAGATTTGGTGGTTGAGAACCCAGCCATCCAGGATTCTCCACGTCAACATATATAACTGCCCCTTGGTAGTATAAATAGTAGCATTTATTTCATTGTAAAGGGTTGGCAACTTACCCACCTTAGCATTCTAGCATTCAATAGCTTTTAGCAGTGTTCGCAGCTCTTCTACTTGTGAAGCAGACGAACGGCCGTTGGCCAGATAGCTTTAGTGTGTTGTAACAAGCTCTTATTACCACTTAATAAGATACAGCCCACTATTGCAGATACTTTGAAGCCCATCTTACTTGCTATTATCTCATATTCACATACACTCCACTCAAAACCCTTAGGTTGCGTGTTGGGCCCACGGGTTGAAGGAAAAAAACTCAACACTGGCGCCGTCTATGGGACGACCGGCAGCGTCTTTGGCAAAAACTGGACCATGGAGTTTGACGAAGACCAGCAGTGTGGCCTTCACCCCCAGATTGTAGCCTTTGGCGAAGCCATCATCGGCCACATCCAGCAGGAATTGGTCGCCGAGCAGAGTTCGTTCCAGGATCCGCACCCCCCAACCCAAGTGGTCTTTCTTCTTCTGGACCCGCAGCTCCTCTTCAAACACATCACCAATAGCCCCCCGGCATTAGAGCTGGGCGGAGAGCATAAATGCTGTGATAACAACTGAAATACTCTGAAAATTTTATTGAAAGAAAATTACTGAATCCTAGAACACAATGATCAGGAAGATTATTTGTTGAAAGAAAAAAACAAGTTAGAAGCCTTTCGAGAGGGCCCCTCTCTCCAAAACCAGTCTATCCAAATTTCCCGATGCCTATTCTCCTCCCTCGGTTCCCGTTTTATTCCCCAATCTGCCGACCCAGCTTCCCCCATTAATTATGCTTTTACTCCTTTGCCCTTTTATTTCTCCTATTATAAACTCTGGAAAAATCCCTTTCAGTATTAATATCTAAATGGGCTGGATTCTCATCAATCATCTTCCATTGCTTCTTGGCCTGCATCTCCCTGCCCTCCGTTCTCCGAGGGTACGTCCGTCTCAGCATCATCCATCCCCACATCGGCTTGGGCCGCATCCTCGGGGACCACGTTATCCGTAACGGCGTTTACCATGATGTCCCCTTGGGGAACAACGGCTGCATTGGCAACGTCGGCCACAAGGGTGCCAGTGGTAGAACGAGACCCGGTACTGTCGGAGGTGCTGGTCTTCCCTGAAGAGCGAGGGCTAGAGCCGGACCCTGAAGAACGAGAGCTAGAGCCGGAACCCGAAGAGGAGCTGGAACCGGAGCCCGAAGAGATTTCCATCGAACACACCATGGAAGAAGGAAAAATCGGAAAAGAGAGAACCAGGAAACTAATAAATTACCTTCCCTGTTGTTTGTTGCTGGAAGATGAACCGAAGAGCGCTAGCAGCGAAAACTTGCAGAGCGGAGAGCACTTGAGAGCAAGGAGCAGGAATTCAGAACCCTAAACCCATCAAGGAATCTGGTATTTATAGGAGGAAGCACCGCCTCGAGGAACAAATGGGATGATGACACATGGCGAGGAGCGTATCCTAGGACACGTGTCGCGCAGAGAGGAATAGACGCTTAATGATGATTTTTCTCGAGAGTGGCACCATTTCTGCGGCAGCCGTCACCTAGGGCTCCGCGAAACGCTGTCACCAAGCAACCATCACATCAGGAACGTCGCCAAATAGGGCTTGGCGAGGACAGATTTTACTTCCTTATGTCCCGCGCACGCTCGGAACATCAAAAAGGGGGGACTTGTGTTGAGTTAATGGCCCGATACTGAAATCTGCCCATTACCCCCTACATCGACGAACGTCTCCAATGAACCAATGACAATTGTACATCAAGACCCAAGGCAACTGCGACGTACGTCACCACCCCGGGCCCTCAACTTAAGGAATCCTAGCCCAGGGTTAGAAAGCATACTCCTACACCAAACAGCCAGAAGATGCACGGCGACCCATCCTTAGTGGCATCACCAAGAATTGATCCAAGGCCCACGGGGACGCTCATCCCCAAGGACTGGGCGGAAAACCGAGATTCTGGCGGGAAGCGCATTTAATGCTGGAGATTTTGTAGTTGAGACCTCAGCCATCCAGGACTCTCTACGTTAGCATATCTAACTGCCCCTTGGTAGTATAAATAGTACTACCTCCGTCCCATATTGGTTGAGATTTGAATAGAATAAAGTGAAATGATAAGGACCACATATTTCTTGCCAAAATGGAAACATGACATTCATTTTGGGACAACCCAAAAAGGAAAGTAGGACAACCAAAATGGGACAGAGGGAGTAGCATTTATTTCATTGTAAATGGTTGGCAACTTACCCGCCTTAGCATTCTAGCATTCTATAGCTTTTAGCAGTGTTCGCAGCTCTTCTACTTGTGAAGCAGATGAACGGCCGTTGGCCAGATATAAGAGTTTAGAAAGAGAGTTAGAAGCTAACAGAATTATCTCTCATTCATAACAGTGTACGGGTACAAGTATTTATAGGGTTGTTAAGTCAACAGACTTCTTAACAACCTGAACACTAGCTCGTAGTATATAATAGACTATAACAACTCAGAACTTCTAGTCTATTACAAAGATATATGTCTAACATTCCCCCCTCAAAACTAGGGTGATTGGTTTAAAAGCTCCATCACACTAAGTTTTGGTTTTAATTCAAGGAATCTGGAGCTTGAAAGTGGCTTGGTTAGAGTGTCAGCAATCTGATAAAGAGAAGGAATGTGGCAGACTTCAAGTTGCTTCAGAAGAACTTTCTCCCTGACAAAGAAAAGGTCAATTTCCATATGTTTGATTCTTGAATGCAAAACAGGATTGTGGGCTAGCTGAACTGTGCTGAGGTTATCACAGTATACTTTGGGAATAGCAAAAGACACCTGAAGTTCTCTTAGAAGAAACTGAATCCATAGGAGTTCTGTTGCAGTGTTTGCAAGACTCCTATATTCTGCTTCAGTAGATGATCTTGCCACTCTGAGCTGTTTTCTTGACCACCATGAAACAATATTAGTTCCAAGAAATATACAAGAACCAGAAGTGGATTTTCTATCATTTGGATCAGATGCCCAGTCAGCATCACAGTAGGCTAGATAGACAAAGGCATTGCAGATAAAGGAATTGGTCTGATGATGATACCATGATTGACAGTGCAAGAGAGATATCTAAGAATATGCTTCACTGCCTGTCAATGGTCCTGCAATGGTTCAGCCATAAATTGGCAGACTTTGTTGACAACATAACAAATGTTTGGTCTTGTTAAAGTGGCATACTGCAAGGCACCAACAATAGATCTGTACTGAGAGGGATTTGGAAGAGTATCACTGCCTTGCTTTTGAAGTTTGCAGGTGCTTACCATAGGTGTCTTAACTCCTTTAGAGTCAAGCATATCAGTTTGATTTAGTACATCTCTAATGTACTTACACTGAGAAAGATGAAGACTTCCATCAGGAAGTTTATGTGCCTCAATTCCCAAAAAGAAATCAAGGTCTCCCTAATTCTTCAAAGAAAAGGCTGAGTGAAGTTTATGAATCAGTTTCTTGATAGCACTGGAGCTGTTTCCAATGACCAATATATCATCAACATAGATAAGGATGTAAATTTTGGTCGCAGGAGTGAGATAAATGAGTAGAGAGGGATCAGATTTGCTTTGTTTGAAGCCAGCAGTGTAGAGAGCAGTGTAGAGAACTGGGGTGAGCTTGTCAAACCAAGCCCAAGGGGCTTGTTTGAGACCATATAATGACTTGTGAAGTTTGCAAACTAGAGAAGTATCCTCAGCTTGAAATCCTGGTGGCTGCACCATGTAAACCTCCTCATCCAGTTCCCCATTCAAGAAGGCATTGTTGACATCTAATTGTTGGATGGGCCAATTGTTTGAAACAGCAAGAGTTAGCAGGATTCTGATAGTCACAGGCTTCACCACTGGAGAAAAGGTTTCTCCAAAATCAAATCCAAACCTCTGATGGAAACCCTTAGCCACCAACCTAGCTTTATATTTGTTAAGGGTTCCATCAGGATTTTCTTTGACCCTGAAAACCCATTTGCACCCAATGGCTTGTTTTCCTGGAGGCAAAGAAACAAGAGATCAGGTTCTGTTAGCAAGTAAAGCATTGTATTCAGTTTGCATAGCCTCAAGCCACTGAGGAGAAGAGAGAGCTTGTTTAACTGACTTAGGCTCAATATGAGTCAACAGTAAGGTAGGATGAAGTCTTGGTTTTACTATTCCTGACTTAGCCCTTGTCCTCATAGGATGTGTGTTAGTCAAAGGAACAAGAGGAACTGAAGATGTGGAGGAAGGAGATTGTTCATGATTACTAGACTGAGATTGAGAAAGGAAATTATGAGGAAGATCAGAATTGGGTTGATTTGGAGATGAAACATCAGTAGAATCAAATTGATTAGATTGATATTGTTTATTGGAGGAAGATGAAGATTGTTCTTGGGAAGAATTTTGAGATTGATGGTGAGAGGGAACTGACTCATCAGAGGATAAGGAAGAATTATTGGAAGAGTG